AGTTTATCAGTATACATTTGCATTAGAAACGATTACTGACAGGTGATCAGTTACTGAATGCTGTTATCTTAAGATCGTTCTTCAATTTACGGAACTCTGAGTACAGCCGGGATCATCGGTCGAACACCTCTCCAACAATAATCATCAGTGACGTCCGGTCACAATATTACTCGGTTAATCTCATCAAATTTTACTGATGCGCTATACCTGCTTCTTCTTGATTGAGCTGAAACTTCATCGTGTAGCTCATTGAGTGACGTTATCTGGAAAATAAGAATAAGTACAGTCTTTCGCTGCTAGTCTCAAAAGGATGTTGTTTCTCTGGTTGCGGACTTATCACTGTTTAACGCCCGGCAATTAGAGATATATTTCACTTCACTTTGCCTATAACCTGCATAGACCGAACCCGAAGGGCTTCGGTACAGCAGAGTGAGATGCCTGCATTCAAATCCAAGGATGGGACATCTTTCTGTAGACAAAACACATTTGGCATTAGGATTGTATTTCATCGAACCTGAATGACTAAATACATCCCAATGCAATCAGCCATACCTAATGGTTGGATGAGTGGTGAGAGATGTAATGGTGGTGAAATACGAAAGACTTTTAAGGCCTACGTGTTTTACCATTTCAGTTAACTTTACAATTCACGCTAATCACACGTAAAGTAGTCACAATGGGTTCGCTCTGACACGTTGTCACCAACAGTGAACGACAGTGCTGATGCAATTGACGATGTCTACGCCGTAGACAAATCACTCACACAATGTGCATTCATCGCCGTTCATTCGGCAGCTGTTTCGTGATCGTTGCTTTTGAGATCCTACTTTCCAGTTGATTTCACCTTCTAATTCGCAACTACTTAACACTCAAGCAGTAAACAGCGTTTCGGTTGATTGGTGTTTGTTAGTTATATTCATTGATGTGATCATCAACATTTCTGTGACGATCGCTTAAAATTCGATATGGTCCGGAATATTTTAAAAGGTAATCACTGTTGAGTGAGTTAAAGATCTAGGGTGTAATACTTGTTCATGGCTAATTATGGTAACAATTTAGTGATTATGACTTGATGAAGCACAGTGCTAAGATCACCAAATCCATGAACAGAAGTGCAAATTCGTATATTTCCTTAAGGTTTTCACCCAGTTCGTTGTATTATCAAGTCAGAAAAACAGGAGACTTCATCCTTCTGATTTATTAGAATAACGCGGTTAACTCAGAAGGCAGAAATCAAAAATACTCAAGGAAAACAAGCAAGCACAAGGTAATTTCATACCAATTTCGAGGGCAGTTGGGAAGCATGCACGATCAACTCGTTGAGATCTTTATCTCCACAAGCGACATTGCACAGTAACCTGTTCAGTTCGGAATTGAAATCCCAGTGTTCTTGGTGTACAATCTTAGAGAAAAGTTTCTTCTGTAATAAAGTAAGTGCATTTATAGTACACATAGTTATTGTTACTGCCAACGGCATACATTTGTTTTTCTCAAAATCCAACGTCGTTGCCATTTTAATGTGAATTTGAATGCGAACGTGCCTGATTGGCATTGATTTCAGATAATAAAATAATCGGATTTTACAAACTGGTCTGCTATTTGCGAAACTCATTTGCCAAGCGTTTGAAAACTATTCCGTTAAAATGTCCGTTTCAATTGAAAAAGTGGCAAGCCCATCATTCAGCTCCCTCGATGCCGTCGCGTAAGGTACAACACATGACCTAAGACTTAGATTTCGATCGAAGGTCGTACACACATTTATACAACACAGGTTGACATAAACGTAAAACAATAACACTATTACTAGTATCATTCTTATCCTCATGATTACGATTATTATCATTGTAGTGTATGCATTGACGCCAGAGAAAATTAGGACTCGTGGTACTCCAGTGTTTAAAATAATCGAATTGAACTGAACAAAACGGTAGCATTTAACTTATATTTGCCAAAAAGGCAAGCATTGGTAAGGCTGAACACGCCTCTATAAATAGACCAATGCTTGTCTGACTTGATATCATATGCCTTATGCTAGAATATACCTTTCTTTAGTAGTCATTGTGCAAAACAATCTCGGGTCGCTCAAAAATATTATTTTCAACTTGTAGTTAACTCCTTGCGTTCATTCTCCGCGAATGTACCACTACTTGGAAATGCGGAATTCGAACTGCCATACCGATGTTTTTTTTAAACTGCGTAGTTTGCAGCAATGGTTTGGTTCTCCAGTCGAATTGCAGTCCAAAGATGCACAACTGGTGCCTACTGCCATGGCTAAAAATACTGTCAGCTCTTCAAATGTGCAGTTAATTCAAATCGCTAGAGATAATCGAAGTGGTCCAGGCTGCATCAGAATTTTATAGCTGCGATACTGAGGGATTAAACTTGACTAGCTTGAAAATCGATTCCATTCTTCATTCGCATCTGAGCTGAAGCTGAACACGATCAAGTACTAATTTCCTGTAGCTGGGAATCGAAAAAAAACTGAGAAACTGCTCCTTAATTGTTTTGAATAAATAATGTACAATATGGCAACTTTCAATAGAAATGCCACACGTTTTTAATAACGATATTCACGTTTGCTGTCGGCGAAAGTTTTCTGCCACAGGAAATAGCTGAATCACCAGAATGCAACATCACCAACAAACAAATGAAGGTTTCGTTCAACTGAATCACCTGAAGTGTCCAAGATTCCGTTTGAAAATGCACAGGTGAAACTGGTAGTAGCTACAGATAGTAACTGATTTCAGTTCCTAAAAAATCAACTGAGACGTGTCACCAAAAATATCGTCAGTAAACGAATAAACTTCAAAGACCTCAAGGAAGCCGCATGAAGCGGCTGACGGGGATTGTATGCTATTGAAAATATGATGTTAGAAGAAAACGGCGTGAATAGCGAACTGGATGGTAACTTGTCAAACATACTGTCTTTTGTGGGGTTAGTTTTTGTGATCTTAGATATAAATACCACTTAGTAGATCAGGTATCAGTAAGAATAGCTGAATGAATGATTTCTAAAAAGTGAAAAACTTAACCCATAATAAGTTGACTGGCCCAAGTTTAGTAAATCCTCATATCTGGATGAATAATATGGGGAAAGAACGAAAATTTGATTTTCTTTCCCACAGAGTTGAAGGAATAGTCCACAGAATTGTGTAGTCTTTTGTATTAATGGATGTAATCAGGATGTGGTCTTTTCCCCAGAGTGTGTGTTGTGGGTCGACTAATTGGTGTTCAGTAGAGATCAAACCACTTTTGAGTTGAACAGGTAAAACGTACTATACAAAAGCTTCGACCTGCTTGCACCTCCGTCATTAAATCCGATGAAGATAGCTCATCTTACCCGGAAGCTTAAAACATTTCAGACAGCGAACTCTCCTGGAAACATCCAATCAAGGTGATGCACTGATAACGCTCGGTAGTAATTGGTCATTTGCGATATTCGTTGTCAGATCGTTCAGTGCCAGTTATACTGGACCTCAACATGTTCATTCAATCTTGCAAGATGGCGTTGCCGAATACAAATTCATTTGCAGTCAGACTCAATAGTTAGGTCATTTACACCTGATTTTCATGGGTATGCACTCCCAATTGGACGACAAGGATTGCGACTGTTACCGGTGTTCTTTGCGCGACTATTCCTCAAAGCTTATTGCGGCTTAACTTAAAGAAGGTATCCAAATAAGTCACTCAGAGCTACATCTTTCATAGCTTCCTCCAGTAAAACCCAGTGTCAAATGAGCCCCTCGTTCGGGGATTGAACTAAGCGGCCATGAGGGAGCTTCATGGGCCGACTTGCAATGTATGTAGCAATCTTCGTCCGCCAGCCCTGTTTCGGTTACGCATTAGGTTTAGGAAAATCCGGACTCATAAGTAAGCACCGTCGGTGTCAGCCGGTTATGTTCTTTGAGTGCGACGGTATTAGGTGGATTTTCGTCAGTAACAGCTGATTTCGATGTAGCTCATTCAAATGCATCACTGTCAAAAGAAGTTCGTGGCAGTTGCTGTCATACATCGTGAGTTAAGTTGCCGCTTGACAGGAAAAATCTACGATCTATGCACAGATCAACTGTCTGATGTGAGTTGTCCGTTCACCTGGGTGGGATAGCGTGTGGGTCGACTACGAAATTCCTGATTTGCCCAGGAATCCCACTTTGGCGTTGCACTCTCCACCTATAGGGTCCATTGACCGAGCACAGTCAGCCACTGACAAACATCCAGCAAAGGAGTTTGAGCTTAGAAATTATTGCAGACTTTAAATTGGTAAAACCGCGAGCCTCGAATGGCGAATCGTCGGAAAACCTGGAAGCAAAGCATATGGATGAGGTTGGACTTGAAGTTGATAATCCAGGTGCAGTCATGTATGAATACATCAGAGACAAATGATAGGCCTAAGTCGAAACGTTCCAGAGTTTACCTGAAGGACGCTTGTCGGCCTATATGACCGAGTGCAGTAAAGTAAGGAAACAAATTTTCCATCAATAATATATCTTTTGTCTTGTGGATGTATTACTCGGAATTGATAAACTAGTAGTTAATGGGCAAATCTGTCAGAAGACGGTATACATATTTTCAGATATATATACATATATATATATATATAGTCGTATGAAGCTAAACATACTGGTTAGCTCTGGTTGTGTCACCGCTTTGCAACATTCGTTGTTTAGGTGAAAATTTTAATTATTAAAGAAAGCTTTTAAGAAAATAATTTAACTATATTTTGTGCTTATTGATGTAGTACAACAATTCAAAGAAGGCAAATTCTGCATAAATCATGATGTCAGAATGAGCTAAGCTTAGCTGCTGAAAACAAGGTTATCATCACGTGGTTTGAGTGAATTATATTTTTGGCAACTGTGATTGAGGTATGGGTGTTGCAGACATCTAACAAACACGTGACCTAAGATAAAAAAACAGTCGATCTTTAACAGTTTCTCAAAAATGAATGCGAAACATAATATAAAGGCCAACAGATCTTGGTGCATTATATACTAGAAAAAATGAATTACAATATCGTGAATTTCCTACTGATTACCTTCTATGTCCGAGATATCGTCGGTGAGTAACACAGCATGTGTTCAATAATCTTTCGATCATCAGCTGAAAATTGTGAAGTGCTTACTGCTACTGATGAAGCACAGAGCTTCGTTATAAAGAACAATATCACTGACTGTCAATATCGTGTCCAATCGAATTCCGGTAAACCGTTGAAGGTATTTGTCAACGTAAGTCAACAATAATTTATTGAAATAAGCTTGGTACATTCAAACATGGGACATTGATCGATTCACTGATAACAATTTCCATCATTTTCAGGCGACAAGTGGAACCGATTGTGTGAAGGTGACCAGTGGGGATAAATCAGAAACGCTGTGTTCAACAGGTACAACGACTGAATTCAAATCCAGCTCGGCGATTGATGTGAGTGCGGATTCCGTTACCACAACCACTACAACAGCAACGGCCACTATTACAACTACACCTACGACAGCTCCAACTCCACCAAGCTCAGAAGAAACCAAAGACAAAAACAACAAAGAGGTACCAAGTCCCGGGACCGCGGAAAATGCATCAGCGAAAGCAGAGAAAGAACCACAGCCAGCGGGCGAAAAAGAAGTAAAAATGAGTGCAGAAGAAAGAGCATTAGAGGAAAATTTGCAGAAGCATGTTGATGCTGCTGTTAGTCAGTTAATTAGGCAAACCAGAGATGCTTCAAGCAGCTTTGCATCCAACGACGTAACTGTCTATTACATATTGGGTGAGTATTGAACAACAACTAGTTATGTTATTTTAAACCAATATCTCCTAAAGCTACCAGTTATTTGCAGAATATACTGCATCAAAATACGTCCACTGTTTGACAGATCATAATGTTGGAGTCTATTTTTCAATGAATCTCCCGCACTGTAACCTCTTTCAGACAATGTTTCAAAGTCAAAACCTTCGTGGTTTTTGATGTTGGGACTGATCGCATCCCTTGTCAACGGCGGTGTATGGTGGGTTGCAAATATCAATAGATCCTTAGTTTATTTGTTTGTGTTATGTTATGTGAAATTAGCTTTACGCATTTTATGCGTTTCAATGCAATTCATTGACGGAATCTCATTTCGGCATTTGCTTTCCAGAGCCAGAGAAGAACCGCACGGCTCACACATAACTGAGACAATGTGAAAAAGATGTGTGATGTCAATAAACCAATAAATATATTACTCACACTGTCTATATATGTGTTATGCGTCATCAGCCCACACGAACAATAGCAATGAAAAATTCACAAGTTAAGGTTTTCATGCGCTACTTACCTTACTGACAAAACCTGTGTAATCATATCCCCGACATAGGGAGATAAGACCCATGGATGAAGCGATCCGACGATTACTACGTCCGGAATTAACCATGTGCAGAACGAACCATCACAGTGAATGTAAATTGGAATATTTGTATGTAGTAGGAAAAAATGAAAACGTATCGGTAATACTAACGCATTTTATGAGATTGCGTTCCACAGATGCGTTCGAGGGTTCCTTTAGGCATCTATTCATGAGAACAAATCTGCGAGCTTGTCTACGCATAATGAGAGAAGAAATCAATTTGTTATCGGAATCGGAACAGAAGCAGATGAAAGTAAATGTTTTCGATAACTGAAACACCAAGATTCAATCACGTTCCGAATCGGGAACAGATTGATGAAACCCTCAGGATCAAAGGGACATTTATTTTACATTATCTAACAGAGACTTAATTTGTCCCACTAAAGATCTGGACATCATATCGATATAATCACCTTTAGCAATTTAATAGCACTAAGTGATAAAAAAACTGAACTTTCCATAAACACCTTGGAGGCGATGCTTGCAACACGATTTTTTCCCTGGGAAATCGACCTAAAGAACGCATGATGCGCAGATCCCGAATTCAACAGTGTATACAGTTGTCTTAAAATGCAGTCATTTTATCAAGGACGAATGGTTAATATAAAATAGTTACAATCCTCTATTGGTGACGTGTACCTGAGGTCTCGTCCTTGTACTCTCAAATTAGAATCAGAGAACATTACGTCTTCAAAAAATAAGTTATAATTCACAGTTTACTCAAAGAACCGAGATCAAATCAACATTATGCGCTGTCATTCAGTATTCCAGTGTATTCACGAAACGATTTGAAATGGGCGTTACATAAATGGCTATTACTTGTGAGCACAAACGTATTCCGTTTTGATCAGAAATGTTGGAAAAATAAGGCTTTTTCGTTATATTATTTAAATTCATTAACCAAATACGACATTGTTTCAAGCCTATGCGCAATGATTCGTGACATAACCGATGACACATTCTAATTTCAGGAGACTGTTCAATTCTGGGAGGATTTCGGAGCGATTTTTGATATATTTTTCGAATGAGTGCAAGAGAAATGCTAATTCATTCAAACTAAAAATAAAAGTTATGCATATCAAATCTCGAATGTCTAAGGTGGAATGGAAATTTTCCAAAACTTGACTGATCTTCCCGTTTTTAAACTTTTGTTTTCCTTTTGTGTACAAACAGAAGGTGATTGCAGTTGTTGCGTGATCTTTTTATGTTGACCAAATGGTGTTTTCAGTGATCAAAATTAATCAAATGAAATGGATTGTACTCCGGAACAGTATAGCAGTTCATTGATAGCATGATGAATGATTCTTGAATTTGTATTCGCAAACGGTAGATAAGCACTTGTTTTAAAAGCGCGATCTATCGAAATCCATTCTGTCTGTAGACACAAGAGTTCTTGTGTCATTGACAATTGACTATCCAGCTGCAGAAAAATAGCAATCAAATTCCAGGTTACGACATAAACATTTGCGTTTAAATTTTATCAGCCCTCACTGCTCTGAGCGGAACAGTAGAATACGCACCATAATTATAGGGATACTTCTTATGAATTCTTTTTATAAAACAAACCACCACTAGAGTGTTTCCTTGTGAATTGATCTTCGAGGTCATCAACCACATTGAAAGGTGAAAATATTCAATGACGGACTAAATATGAACAAAGTGCATGAACATAAACAGGTTAGATGTGAAAATATTCAGTGAATTCCGCTATGCAGCTATGTTGATTTACCTGGATAGGGTGTAATTTATCCTGTTTGATCCAGAACCTCAGTACAGGTGGTTTGCACATTACAGACTAGAGAGAAGAGCACATCGATACTGAATTAATATTTTTGTCACTGCTTGTGGGCAATAAAGAATGACAAACATTAGTTAGTTGATGAAATCTAATAGTACTTATCAGGCATTGTA